TTTTTTTTATCTACATATGTCTCTAAACTATAATGTCCTAATTTACCATACAAATATATATTCATCTGAGACAACGAAATGATATCAATCATTATCATATATACATCATAGAGAAGAAGACGAGAGCTTTTTTTTCTTCTTGGTCGAAGGTTATCAAACTACCATACATTTGTGTTTAATCGAACTATCTCGAGACATATATGAAGGATTCAGTGACAAATGAAAGGAGACAAGAGAAAAGAGAAGGAGAATAGGAAAGAAGTTCATTTATATGAATGTACATGAGCAAGAATTTACTTCTTTAGTTGACAATTACTTCGTTCATAAACAACAACAGTATGTTATACTAAATGAATAGTGATGGATGAAGAGATTGAAGGACAGTGAATATATACGAATCGTACTATTGTTAGTTCAAATAAAAAAAAAAAAGCATAAGAGAGTGAGGCCATAAAATTTTCATGCATGTATGCATGCATACATACATACATGTAGCACACATGAGAGTATATATTATACCAGTGTAATTTTCATTTTTGTTTTTTTTTCATTGAAATATTGAGGTTTCCAATCTGACAGTTGAAATAAAACATTTCATATTTCATTCTTTTGATTTTTTTTCTCTCTAGTTATTACAAGAATTTAATACGATGGGTAATTGTATTGGTAAAAAATCTACGTTACATCATAAACAACGAAGAAATTCTCCTTCAATAAAAATTAATTCTACTAAATTGTATTGTAATGATCAACGACCTACAAAACAAGAGTCATTATTATTATTATCAACAATATCACCATTAAATACATCAACGGAGCGAAATAGCATTTTTCTGTCTCATTTGTCCGATGTAAAAGATATTGATATCATATACAACGATAATGACGATAGCGAAAGAAAAGTTATTCAATATTCATCATTCTCACTTTTACCAACGACGACATCACCAACTAATGAACAACACGTACTCATGCATACGCCATCAATATTATCGCCTGTTCAATTGTCATCTGAATGTAAAAAATTTAAATCAAGCAATACATCAATAGTTTTTGACGATAATAATATAAGACAAGCATTTAAATTGACGATAAACGAAGAAAATACGACGATGGGACAACTGGTTAGCAAGGAGAAAGATATAAGTAAACAAAATGACAATGATGATATTGATGAAAAGGTGAACATAGATATCAAGGTACATATAATTGACAATGATCAAAATAAAAATCATCAATATTTTACAATTATCAATGATCAAATACCAACTAGCGAAACTATGATCAATACACAAGAAAAAGTACAAGGTAAAGTAGCAAATATTTCCAAAAGTTACTTTTAAATATAAGTTTGTTTGTGTATGTTATTATTTAAGAACCACTTAACACGTCACCTTCATCGTCTTTGTTTGACTCTTCACTTTCTTCGCTCTCTTGCAATTCAACACCATTTTCTTCTCAAGATCGACTTATTCTTTCATCATCACCTTCATCTTCTTCTTCAGCTGTTATATCTCCAATTGCATCAACCGCTATTATACCTATTCCACCATGTTCTCATTCATATAAAACAAATCCATTAATAAATCAAAATGGATCTCGTTCATTACCTTATTCAGAACAAATTTATCTTAATAATCAATCATCATCTATATGTCCATCGAATGAAATCTTTACAACAATATTACCAGCATCATCATCTCATCGTAATAATGATTTATTCATTAATGAATTTCATCAAAATATTATTTCTCATAATTGTAAAACACTTAGTGCTATTATTGATGATGTTGTACAACAACAATATATTCGTATTCATCGATGTTCAAAAGCTATTTTAAATGAACATAAAGAACTTGAATGTGTACATTTAAAGTAAGTTATTCTTTTGAGTTTTGATTTTAATGATATATTATTCTTTCTAGAGATGTAAAAAAGTTCGATACACCATCATTAATCTTTGACGAACAACAAAAATTTGTTTACATAACTAAACATTGTCGTTTACTTGGCCTTCAATCATTTACATATACAACAAATAATGTAACACGTTTACCAAAACTGTTTTCATCATGTGATCATTGTTCATCATTACTTTCCGGTTCAAAACTTAATCATCGTTTACGTCCATTTTTTCTTGTTAATACAACGCATAATTTAGTACAAATGTGTTTTAATGAAACAAATAACAATACAATTTTTGGTTATATATCACAAGAATATCCAAATAAAATTCGACAAACAATTATTAATAATGCGAAATTTTCTTATTCATATGATCTTGATGTTAGCTATACATCGTTTTATTTTGTTTTACGTGTTCATTCATGGCCACAAGAAATACGTCAGATTTATGAACAACGTCAACGTTTATGGTCAGTCAATATTGATAAATTATTTGATGGTACTTGTTTTATTCGGGTGAATAATGATGAACAAGATATACTTAAAACAAATAAATGTCTTGCTTGTGAAAAAATGCTTTCATCATCATTAGATTCAACTTGGTCTTATACATATACAGCTATTGAAGCACAACTTGTCTTGTCTATGTCTGATGAACAAATACGTTTTGCATCAATTATTTGGAATTATTTAAATGGAAAAACTCAAGGACAACTTCCATTTGTTATTTTTAAACATACATTATTTTATTTCTTTGAACAATATTCATCGGATTCTTTTACTTCTAATGATGTACTTAATTATGCACATCGTTTTACTGATTTTCTTTTCGATCGTCTTCAAAGTAAATCCGTACCACATTATTTTAATTCAAATTATAATCTATATAATGATAATTTATCAACTACTTTAATGAGTTCAATATCAATTAAAATGACTTACTTAGATTTAAAAAATTTTTCTATTTATCTTCTACCAAAATCATCCTTATATCTTTATCATTTAATTTATCTTACTCAATTTCAAAGAAATTTTTTACAATGTCTTCTTGCATCATCAAAAACAAATTCAATTCAAACTATACTTGATACACATGAACTTGTGATAAAACAATTATCATTAGGTATTAAAACATATAAACGACAATTCGAAACAACTATTGCTATTAAAAAACATCGACCATTAACACTTGATTGTCTGTATAGATATCAAGAACAAAATGTTCAAATTATACTTGATTATTTACCATTATTACGAGATAAAGAACCTTCATTACTTATTCATTCACTTTGGTCTATGTTTATTCAATATTTTAATTGCCTATTTGATGATCTTTTTATGTCTTGAACAGAAACAAAAAATAAATTTATATATATATATATATATTCATTTTGTGTATAATAATATAAGATAAGAATTTAAAAAAAAAAATTTTTAGGCTAAGAAATCAATTTGTTATCATCATTACTCAAAGAAGGATGATGTTTTGCAAAAAACAAATCGATTCATTAAATAGTTCGTACTCGCATCTATTCATGGAATATTAGATATTTAAAGACTTACTACTTTAAATAAATACTATTGTATTTTTGGAATTAATTTAATACGTTTTTAGAAATCATGTTATTCTTCTGAGAATAAAGATAGGTCGTTTGCGAAGGAAAGAAATCTCGTAAAACTAAAATTATGAACTCGAATAATCTTTTAAAGCGAACATGAAATAGTAAACATGAAGAAAAATGCTTTTAAATAAAAAGTCAACGAGATTTCTTTCTACCATTTTTTTATTGTGTCAATGTTTTCATACTTCTCAAAAAGTACCTTTCATTCGAAGAAAAACCTTGGAATTCAATAATATTTACCTTGTACAGTAATTTATTCATTTCACAACGATTAACTTTCAACACTGTTGCATATTCTTTTATATTATACTTTACATTTTCGTGCAATATTATTTTATTAATCAGACGTCTCAAATATGAAATGCATACTAATGAACGAATTAAATTAACCAACATTTAAAACAGTCACTAGTTTTTATTGCTGATTTATAGAGGAAAAAATACTTTTGTACAGATCTACAATCACTAGCTATATAAATCAATTTCATACGTTGTTTGGACATAAGAGCAAAAACTACATATATAAAATTCGTGTTTTTCATCTAAGCATTCAGTATATTTCATCACATTTATCTAGTATAGTATTTTAATCGTGAACAGTAGAAAAGAATACGTCTATCAATATTTGATACACGCATTGGTTTATTAGTTTAATCTTTTATATTTGATCGAGTGTGTTCTGTTTAACAATTATCATCATTAACCTTTTGTGGTTGTCATCATTTTGTGACTTTGTCACTATCGTGAAGCCTAATTTGATTTGTTTTTCGTTTAATTCATTCTTTTCGTAGATAAATCGCATGTCTTGAATACACTCTCTTTATATGAATATAAAGTGTTCATTTGGACAATAAATGAGTGAAATGGAGAGGGCAAATTTAAAAAATTTTTCAACAACACGATAATGAGATAAATCGAAAAGAACATATATTGTTGTGTTGCTGTCACTAGCTGCTCTGACGTGTTTTTTACTCGATTTATGTATCAACCAATCGAGTTTCAATACTGAATTATAATTAGATTTATTCTTGGAAGGCGACTGATCGAAATTCAGCTTTCTTTTCACGATATTTGCTTGGCTTGCCATTGAGAGCAATGTCTTTATATCAAGCAAGTCTTCAATGCACATTATACCTTATGAATACCCCAATAAGTGCACTTCATTGATTCGATTATTTTTCTTTTTGAGTACTACTGTATGTGATGTATTGTCTGCAGCAAATTTCTTTTTGCAACGAGTAGATCAATGGTGAAAACATCTCCAACGTTCTATCCATGCGATGCATTGACTGGTCATCACATATATTCATTCCGAAACAAAATTAGTTTCCGATTTGAATGTATATAAATTAGTTAGTGATTACTTTTAAAAAATACCGCGATATGATTGTTTGTAATCGATGGATTTTTATTCAATATCTTAACAGCGACGCACACTTCATGTTTTTTTGTTGCCAATCGAACTCGGTGAGTTCTATTGTCTAGAGTAATTGAAAATGTTTTAGCCAGACTAAATTGTGCGCAATTAGTTATATTCTCTCAACGTAGTTTCTAGGTTTCGATTGAAGAATCGAGTCTTTACGAATCTTATATTTTTTCGGATGCGACATCTGTGTTGGAATCAACAATATTGAAAATCTTCAAATTTCAAAGGATCTGATCAAAAATCATCAGACTTTTTCTCAATCTGAAAACCTTATAAAATGAAAATGCCTTAGTAGTATACAACTACCTTGATTTGGGTTTGTTAAGATCTCGGCCCATTTGTGAACAAAAACTTAAGGAATGTCAGAA